ACCACTACTACAACTACTACACCTACCACAACTACAACTACTACACCTACCACAACTACAACTACTACACCAACCACTACTACAACTACTACACCTACCACAACTACAACTACTACACCTACCAATACTGCAATTACTACACCTACCACTACTACTACACCTACCACAACTACAACTACTACAACTACTACTACACCTACCACAACTACAACGTTTATCACAACCACAACTACTACGACACCTACCACAACTACAACTACACCCGTTACAACTACAATGCCTACCACAACTACTACCCCAACTACTACAACTACACCTACTACAACTACACTTACCACAACTACAACTACTACACCTACCACAACTACACTTACCACAACTACAACTACTACACCTACCACAACTACAACTACTACACCTACCACAACTACACCTACTACAATAACTACACCTACCACAACTACAACGCCTATCACAACTACAACTACTACTACACCTACCACAACTACAACTACTACACCTTCCACATCTACAATACCTACCACCACTAAAACTACTACAACACCTACTACAAGTGCTACCACAAAATCAGAAGATAAATTCATTACCTCAACGACAGTGAAATGGGAAAAGCCAGGTAAAGAAGTAATTGAACAGAAAGTAGTAGAAATAGTAAAAGAAGTTTTGGCAGACCAGTAGTGTCTGAATTAGATGTGTGTGTGAGAGAGAGAGAGAGAGAGAGATGATAAGAGACTGACCAGTCAAATAACTGTGGATCACCTGCGTTTTTTTTATCACCTGGGTCAATGTCCAAGAACAGTGAATGATAAGACACACTGTTCAACTAAGAATGTAGATATAATACCTGGTTCTTCTGATTGCAGGTGGCGCAGGGGCCAATGCCGGGCAGACGGGCGAGTCAGGACAGATCAGCAGTGAAACGAGTAAGGAAGCATTCAGAACAGATGATCCCCGAACTAACAGATTCACGGAGTAAATATGGCAGACCCCACTTAATAGCAAGCTGCATTATCCCCTGATGGTCTCTCCGCCCTAACACGAGCCATTTAAAGGATGAAATCTCGGCTCCGAGCTTTAATTGCCAGGACCCTGCAGCGACGGCACGTGTGGAGGCGGGGAGACCATCGGGGGATTCAATCGGCATTTTCTAAGGGGTTCGGGGTTCGGCCATATTTGAAGACTTGTACAAAATTCCAACTAACAGGAAACTTCATGTGTAGCCATGTAGCAATCACCTACCCTTAAAAATAAAATGTTATAAATGTTCTGAGCAAGTCTACTAAGCCTTTAGCTGGGTGATCTACTGGTATATGGATGCTCATCTCATTTTTTGTCTTAAAATACCTTAACTCTTTTAGGAAACAAAGCCACATTAGTGATGTAGCTCCGAGGGTATTTTAAATTTGAATTCGCAGTCATTGGCCCATCATTTTATGTAACATTGTGTGCTCTTGCTTCAGCTGGAGCATTTATACTGTGGGTGCCCTCCTCCTTGTGTACGTAAAATTCAAGTAAAATTTGAGAAACATGAAGAAAAAATAATTCTATAAATAAATAAATAATGCAAATATCGCGGTGTTCTTCTTATCACGAAGCATTGGAAACAATTATGACAGTGGGCATTTTGATTATTTTGATTTTGATTTTGATTTGTTTTGGTTTTCATTTTTTGTTTCTCTTTTCAGTTATGTACATAGGGATAACATTGGGCTCTTTCCTCATTTTGTTCATAATAGCGGTACTTGTTTACACGTGCTACAGAAGGCGAATACGGTAAGCTTGCCTTTCTGTAACTCAATGCAGTAAGGATGAGTATTGTATATCTTTTTATATTTGTATATTTTAATTGTAAAAAATTGAAGACACAGCAGCATGTAATTGTGAGCAACCAGTACCTACACTGTAGCACAAAAGCCACTAGCAACTACTTTATTTGGAACTTGTTTCTTGTTCAACTTGTTAACATAATCCACCTTTTAGTGGCCCCGTGTGTACTACACTGTGTTATATGGTGCGATACCAGCCAGTTCAATGGCCTGTATCCGGGCATTAATGGTATTCTAGCCAGGAAGTTATCTAGTTTGGCCTAAAACTGATCTATGAAACACATAATCGTTTTTCTTAATTACATGGGTAGGTCCTAAATACTGGAGAGGCGTTGCAAAGAAAGAAAAAAAAAATACATATATAATTTCCGATTATTTTTCCAATTACAGAAATGTAAAAGATCGACTTAGAAATGAAAGCGTAGACACGGAGAGCACGAACAATGGGGGATACAGCGACATGAACGGGTATGCTAATGTCGGATTCCAGAACCCTATGTATTCAGACACTCCCGTGGACACTCCCACGTCCCCCACAACATCGCCACCTGACGAGCCCGTTTTGGCTACTCCTGCGCCATCTGCAGAACCAAGATACGCCACAACCTTAGGAAAGCCCTGCTCTGTGGCCTTTAATACACGGACCGACTTTGATAACGGAGACGATGGGTATGCCACGCTATCCGACGGAATACAAGAACCATTATATGAAAACGAGAACTTATCGGTTGCTAATGGTAACATAGGACCCCTGGAGCCCCTGAAAGAAGAATATGTAACGACTATTGTGATAGGTTAGATGTGCTGGGGGGGGGGGGGGGTCTTAACTACTAATTTTTTTAAAAGAACCAATCGGAGGTCCTCAATGGACATTATGGTATGACCAGCGTGGTGTGATCAAATTGCTGGTACAATGTAAAACCCCCTTCACACAAAGAAGACACAAGGATCGCTTTGATTGCAGAATGAATGCTCAATGGTGGGGCTGTTTTCAGTTCAGTGTAAAGGGGGCTAAAGGAACTTAAAATAGGATGGAACACACTTGTGTATATTATCAACATGAAGAATGAACAAAGTACTTATAACTTAGCACATGCAGCTAGCGCTGCCAAATGCGAATAGTGTCAGCATACATTGAGGAGACCAGTTGTTTTACAGGCAAGAAATATGCTTGAAAGCTAAAGGAATTAATTTTGAAAAATGAGGTTGATGTGCTGTATTGATTAAAGAATGCTCACATTTGTAGAAAATAAGTTTGCAAATACATAAGATTGCTGCTACTTAATAATAGAATCTTTGGAATATTGATGTAAATGTTTTTTCAAATCTCAGAGCAGATTAACGAATAACTAATACATAATTGAGAATGAAGCATAGGGCATTTATCTGAAAGAAACATAGGAAATGAGTCAAAAGTTGGAAGGTGCAGGAAAACTACTCTCTGACCACAGGGTCCGCTAGTAGTCTGTTTCAAAATTATTGTATCCCCTATATTTTGAACTGTTTTAGAAGCCCCTGGTATCACAGGATACACGAAAACTGCATGATGCCAATAATTGCAGTGACATTTTCTAAGTGCAACAATTATCTTAACAAGACAACAAAATCTTAGACAATGTCTTTTAATTAACGTGAAATGTTAGGCCTACGACACTTAGTCTACTTGTATAAGTTTATTTTAACTCTCGCACGACCTCTTTGCCTCGGCAGGTGGCATGGTCGGTTACTCATTCTGACACCGTGGACAGGGAGGGAGGGGGTGCTTGCTCTAGTGCGCTCAGCGATATGTACAAACAAAAAATGAAAATGATTTCTTTATTACTTAAAATAATAACATGACCTCATTCTGACCTCAACAGCTAGTTGTGACACGTGACTGAATCAGGTGATGACCTCTGCATACAGCTGGACTGGAATGCAACTGTATATATGTATTTTATACTAATTATTAGATCTTTTGATAACCCTTATATGATACAGTATTATCACCAAAATAAAGTTAGAATTTTTTAAAAAAATTCTGTTTTGTTTTGTTTTCAAAAGTTTTCTCGTTCGGCATGCACACTCTTGTTATCTTAACCCCAGCAAACACAGAACGTTGTATAACGTTACCATAACGTTACAGTAACGTGTTTTGGTTATGTAAACGTTATGGTAACGTTATACTAATGTTCGGTGTTTGCTGGGACTGGACCACAGAACTTATGGTATTGTGGGACACATTTAATTGTTATAGATTGATAGCTCATGGGTGAGAGTGAATGGTCGCACAATGGTCGCGTGTTTACCCGGTCTCACCTACTCTCTACCAGCTGCTTGATGACGTCAGCTTTTTTCTCCTTTTTTCTTTCTTTCCCCCTTTTTTTCAAATAGAGAAATAGTCAGAAAAATCTGCTTATATCCAGCAATAAAAAATCCTTTCTATGACTGTGGTATGAACTATTTAAATGGAGAAATAGTCAGAGAAAAGTTTGAATTTGTTAATATCCAGCGGAAAAGATTCTTACTGTGATCCTGGTAGAGGGGTGGGTTTTACATGTATATGCACCCCTTGTAACTACCGGTAAAGCTGCTCTGAGGATACGAAAAGCAAGAGTAAGCAGTGGATAGGCCCTCCTATAACGCCTTCATGACGTTTCCGCCTCCTCTGCTACATATAAAGCACGAGGTCTCGCGATTGATAAATGTGTTTTTTTTTCCCAATTATTATCTTCCAAAGAACGGATGGGGGGCTTTTTCTGGCATAACACAAGGAAGCTACTGATTTACGTGTCCAGGAAACTACATGGGATGGTTAGTGCGTCCAGATTCTATAACGACATAAACGTGTCCGTTCCGGTCATATGCAGTGTACATGTTGTAATTGTCCGTGTGAGGTTAACCCGGAAAACGTTTCTGTGGGAATTAGGAAGGACAATTGGGAGTGTTTCCAAGGAAGAAAAAAAACAAGACTTCGGAAGTTGACTTAGACCTTAATGTTGCTGGCTGTGTGCTGCTTCGAGCACTACCCAAAATATAACAGAACTGTGAAGCGTATTTTATTTCATGCAGAGGCGTTTTGGGATATTTGTCTTCCTCTCTGAGAGTTTCAGAGGAATACCTGATAGGACTCGACAAAGAGAAAAAAAAATCGTTGGAGAGAATCAGTTCATGTTAACCGTTTCATTGGCTCAGTATCTCTCTTGGACAGAAATAAAAGATAAAAGATGGATGGTCAGTAAGAGTAACTCAGTAGAGAAGTGAAGGATCTATGATCAGAAGCTGGTAAGTATAAAACTCACAATTGCCATAGCGAAATGATTTTTTAAAAATATTGTCCTTAATATTAAAATATATCGAGGACAATAAAAAAATGGGAAAACGGGTGCTGCCTGTACATGTATATACGTACACAGCTTAGGCAGTGAAAAAGACTAATTTTTTTCTATTTCTGTCGAATATATAATGGTATTGATTACCTATCAAATACACTTCATAACAAAAAGCCAAGTATGGGCTCATAGGTAAATTCCGACGGTGGCCAGTGGGTCTATTTGGATTTTAGTTTAAAGCTGTAAAATGTACATATTCATTACTTGACTTAACCCGAAAAGTAAATTAATAAAGGAAACAGAAAAACAACTTGAAGCGTAGAAATAGTTATAGTTATTAATTTTCATAAAAATGATTTTCTTCTGGTACATGTCTTTAAAATTTTTTGAAGATAAGATCATATTATGAATTTGGCGGAGAGAGAGAGAGAGAGAGAGAGAGAGAGAGAGAGAGAGGGGAGGGGAGAGGGAGGAATGCGTTTCTCCCATCTCTTGCGCCCTGAGGGTAATTTTTGTCGTACTTGTAAAAATATTCAACATATCCATGAGCCATTAACCCGAGCAAAGTTTAAAGTTATTGAAATGTTTACGCAGAATCACATTAAAGTCATATTTCTGGGCGAGTTGGCGAACTGATGGCATCTTAATGATACTGGAACGCTTGATGGAACATTAAATTTACAACCAGATTCAACAATGCCGAATAATATTTTGGTCCTCAGGATTAAAAGCGCCTTTCGTTGCTTTTTTTAATCTTGTTGGTATAATATTTCTTGATATGATTTTCTAAGAATTGTGAAACATGACTCACTAGCTGTCCCATTTTGAAATAAGAGAAAAATATCGTATCATACATGATTAAAACTATAACCGATATGTAAAGATTCCATTGTGAGCGCTATATTACTGATCAAAATTGTTTGAAAGCAATACAGTGAATCAAATTTAAAGTTGGCGTTTTGCGCAAATGGCTTTAAAAACCCTGACGCCCGTCGATAGTGAAAATGCAGTGTCGTTTTAAGTTAAGGTACATCCAGTTAATTAACATTTTTCTTTTTTTAGATTATCACAAATATTTATGATTATTTATTTCATTTATTAGTATTATTCATCACATTTCTTCAGTATACATCTCCCATTTCTCCGAGTATAGAATCGTTCGTCACTCTTTTTATTCATGTCTACGAGGAATAGAGTTTACTCTGATGAGTATTTCTTTATGAAATCATATATTATTTCTTTCAGAATATATTCTCCATTTTTGTACGACATGGACCGTCGCCATGTTTACTCAATTCTACCCGGGATCAAGGCATAATTATCCAGAAAAGCCTACTTATGTGTCCAGCGCTTTTTTCGTCTTTGGAATATTTATCATTTTTCAACTGCCAGAGGCTACAGGTAAAGACATAGTATTAAACAGTTTAAATGTTGTTTTATGTTAAATATTGGTTTGATGTTTTAAATGTGTTTCGAACAATTCAAAACGTTAAAAACCATCGGGTTATTATTTGTTATTCATGTGCTGTGCGTATACCACAAAATTAGCACATTGCCTTAATTAGCAAGTTTTTGATAGTACATTTATAAACATTTCAAAAGAGATTCAATGCGAAATAAATATCCGATGAAACATTGTGCTGCGGTTCTTAAATTATAGTTATGTATAAAACATTGGCATGTAGGCAGTAAAACCTACGAATTCACCGTATATCTTTACACCTAAATCCTTCCTGAGTGCTCTGCTTCAATTTGAACACCGCCAACATTTCTGACTTATCCATTAAATTAAGAGTTATTACAGATTAACCACCATGAAGAAAACGAATACGAACCAACACATGTAGGGCCTCGTTGACACCACACTTTAACATCTGCGGTCACGTCAAGTGGTTATTTTCTGCGATAAATGACTTATTTTTAAAGCAAGGAAGGATACATTAATAACGTTTGCGGTGAAGGGATATTTATATCTATTAGTTGTCCTCCGCCATTACTTATTTCTGGCGGTTTGCGCTTCATTTATCAAATGTCCTACATGTACGTGTAGCTCTAAAGCTGTGATGATTTTACTGAACCACATCACGTTCTGTAGCCGAGTTGCTCGACTTTACAATGTCAACACTCCGAAAAACGTGCACAGACCGATTGTTTTTTGGGTACACACAGTTTTGATATCGCTTTAATGCGCATGACCAGAAGAGATGCGCCATGATTTGTTACAAATTTTTCATATTAATTTGTCAAAATACAACACCATATCAATAACAGATTAATCTTAAAATAGAAACATTTTATAGGATTAACATTCAGATCCACCCGAGAGTTTGTATTATTTTGTTAGATGAATGCACAGATACTTCCGGTAGAAGATTGCAAACATCTTTGTTTGGCAGAAAGGTAAACCATTAAAGCATTAAATTAATTTATGTGTCAAGTAATGGATGTAGAGTGCGAGGGAGGTCTTTTCACTAAAATGAATCATTTCCGAGCAAACTTACATAAATGGAACGATAAAACCATGGGCAGTAAGCTGCGTGTAGAACAATTACTTTTTTATTATGAGTGATTTGTTTTCTACCGGTAATGGCCGTCCTTTTCCGGGAGGTCTCTTGGCATAGATTTCATTTTAGAAGCAGGCCCGTAGCCGGGGGAAAAGGGGGGGGGGGGTCGGGGCGTTCGAAAGAACTGCCCTTTTGTCAAGAAAAGGACCATTCTAGGTAAAATTTGATCTAGGTACACAAAGGTTTCAATGTAAAAGGTCCACTTTTTTCAGAAAAAGAACCCCCAAGCTACGGGCCTGAAAGGTCATCGCAAACAAACACTGTATGGATGGATTTGCAGCCCGGTTGAAAAGCATCAGATTTCAACATCCTTCTTCTGATTAAATTGGGAAACAACACGCACACAGGGCGTGTGCTCAGGGACGTGCAGCCGTAAACTCGATGGGGGGAAGGGGGGGAGGCAGGAGGGTCCATCAATATGCTCTGAGACTGTAAAATTTCAGTAAGAAACGCTTTGCTCTTACCCAAACACACCAAGTGACTTCCTCATGTGTCCTGCTGTGAACGAACACTTCGGGGGACGCCTTGTGCTTAGTACACCTCTTAAAACTAAGTCGAACGCACCCAAAATGTACAATAATGTGCCCACCACTTTGACCAATGGGCCTTTGTATTGCCCTTATCGCGTCCTTAATGTGTAGCTACACGACGCGACACGTGCCGTTATTCACGTACTAAGTGGCTTAGGAGACGGTTCTTGGGGAAGTGAGGAGGGGGGGGGGGTGGACACATTAATATTTTAGTTACCACTGAAGCCAACTGTACATACCGCCAAGGTACCAACCGCAAAGGACCAAAATACTGTAAACGCCTGGTCGTGTTAAACAATAATTTGCCCGAAATTGTCCAACGGCAATAATTAAAAAATATTCGAACATACATCGTTTTGATTTACACTTTTGATTAATTACTGTTCAACACAAATATTTAAATTGAATGCACATTTTGTACACATTTATGTACCTCAAAGGACATGCTGCAGAAAAAGTCAAATCAACAAAAACAAAATTCCATGACTTTTTATCTTTCTCTTTCAAATGCGGCGTACCCGTGTCGTGTGGTATAAAGTTGTTGCCTCGTGTCGCCGGCTTCAGTTATCAACCACAAAGTTCTAAATCACAGCTACCAGTAACCGCCGCAGCAACCAAAGTAACCGCACTGCCCATTGCAAACTACAATAAGTGCGCATGTCATAATCATTATGCCCCAGAGCCCATTCCCATTGAAACTATCGTTCTATATAGATCGATCCAACTCCACCTTGCGTTGAGTAGAATACAGAAAAGCTGGTGGTTATAGAAGTAATTAAGTTGAAAACAAAGGAGGCGTGTTTATCTGTCAAACTGATTGCATTCAGCTAGAGTCCTCGAGGAGTTGGATCGATGTACGTAGACCAGTAATTGCATTGGAAATGAGTCCCTACAGTTCCAACATATACAATCGACCAAAAAAGTTCGAAAGCGATGTTATTTTGAATAATTATGAAATAACCATATGATCTAAGGTTAATATTTTAAACAATATTTATGGATAAAGCACCCACTATTAGTTACTTTTTGAAATTTTGTCAGGGAAGGAATTGTGTGGTCGAGTGCTTAAGTATACAGGTAGGGCCTACTTTGTTGGATGTTGAGCAAATCATGAAGTCACACTCAGTAATTCGAATTCAGTAAATGTGACACAAAATGACCGTTTGCAGAAGGTTTTCCAGGAATATTAAAATGAGGTAGGCCTACATGGTACCGGTGTAACAGTAAATAAAGTCCGCTAGAAACCGTAGTCCGTTCTTTACCAACCCAATTTCTCCGACTAAAACTAACCTGTACTAATCACATCATGTGGCACCCCAAAACAGAGCAAGGTATTTTTTTTTCACGAGGAACATCTATTTCTAGGTTTCCCAGACAATGACTGTATGTATCACCTCGAACAAGACGTTTTCGCGCACAGAAACACATGTTACCATGTCGTGAGCACTGGAAAAGACTGGCGTGGCGCTAAGGCTTTCTGTGAAACCCACGGCCAGGGATTAGCTGAGGTCCAAGACCGAGATGTCATGGAATTTCTTTCAAGGACACTTCATGGTCTTCCCCATAGCGCCGTGTGGATGGGAGGGAGTGATGTGATTAACGAAGGCAGTTGGATGTGGACCTCAGGTTAATCTTGTTTTCAAATCCCTTCCCGTCTCTCTCTCTCTCTCTCTCTCTCTCTCTCTCTCTCTCTCTCTCTCTGTGTATGTGTTTGGTAAACCGCGACCATAATCTATTCAAGGAATCACATTATAGTACCAGTACCAGTAGGCTACAGTGTATGGGATGAATCACATGGTTTTTGCCTTATATCACTGGCGCGCAAAACCGACATCAAAGTCTCTGTTTACTTAGTGTTTATTTTTCACCAGGCCAAGCTGTGACCTATTTCAACTGGGCTCAGGGTCAACCGGAAACGATTTGGCCTCGATACCACAACGAGGATTGCATGGTTATGAGGAAAACTGACGGATGGAAATGGAGTGATTTTCCGTGTGCAGGCCGATATTCTTTGTTTCCATTTATCTGTCAGTATGGTGAGTTTTGTTGTTTGTGCTATTTTAATAATATTCCTGTCGAACACAAAGCAGTCTGTGAAAATTAATACCTTTATGTTGAAAATCTTTTGCGTTAATTTCATTATTTAAGATCGACAATAAACACATCCAGTTTAAACACAGCGCGAGCCTATTCTACAATACGTGTAACTAATTATACGATTGTTCAAACTGTCCAAAACATTGTGAATAATTCAACCGTTTTACGTGATACTTTTACAAAAATATTCATAATCATTCTGTTTGTGTCAATGTCTAGATGGTAACGGCAATTCGCATATGATATATCAGGAAAAAACAACTGATTATATAAAACAATAGTTATGAAAAAAGCAAATCAATTACAAATAAAATGTATTTGTACATCAACCTCATAGGTCTCGTTGCTGTAGAAATTTTGACTTAAAATAGTAATTTTGCACGCGTGTAAGCTGAAACTAGCCTACTTTTTTTAGAGTGCACCCCATGCGAACACGTGAATACGTCAACCGACGCTGTCACAAGAGAAAATTCGTCGCCTGGGCAGACGACTCACAGGCCAAAAGTTCTTGAAACAACCGACGGGGGTTGCTCTTACTTATCTCAAGAAATAGGAATTAAGCGTTGCGACTTGGGTAAGCGATTTTCTTTATAAATGTTTCGAAATCATGCAATTTTATTTTTATTCTTCTGAAACGTCAGTAGCTCAGCTTGTACTTGGTGGTGTGGGCCGGGCATAAAAAACACGGGCAATACAATAAACTGTAGAATAACCCTTGGTTCCAGGTCTGATTATCGGTCTCACTGCCGCGGGAATGTCATTGATTGCAGTCGTTCTCGGTGTCTCAGCATTAATACACAGCGCAAAGGTAAGCACAGGTGAACACTTTATCTTTCACACTTTTTGTACCTCAAAAGCTGCTATTTTTACCTCCGGTTGTACATAGTCGCACAATGTCTTATAATGCAGATATTATCTCCGTTTCTAATATTTCATCATTTTGAAAACCAAGGGTCATTTTCGTAGCAGGTTTTATTGTATATGTAAAAAAACTGAGTGTAGTTGAGAGATGTGAAAAACTTCGTGCAGTGGCGAGTATTCCGTCCATTAGATTCGTATAGGTTAGGGTTCTTCTGACCCGTACAAATCATTGTTACCCTGACGCCTCCCACACATGATATCAACAATTTTTTTTAGGTTTTTAGATGTACTGGTACCAAGATTGATAATCTTGAGTTTGTGAATAAGACAATTTCGTTCTTTTGGTCATATGAAGTATTTATTTCAGAAAGCACGTTGTATTGCAAGTGAAATGAAGTCCGGCCAGTTCAGACAAAGACGAGGCTCGGAGCGAAGTCAGGAGGTAAAACAATTAAACTTTTTGATTGAAATTATAGCAGTTAATAAGGAAGTAAATGGTTTGGGTATATAATGAAAGATTATATAGAAAAGGGAATAATATGACAACATATCTCCTATTATCTTGCTCTAAACATGCCGGTTAACTTAAAATAATCTCAACAATGGGACGCAGGTACTGATAAGCGTGACTTTCAAATACAAAACCTCTCAGTAGCTTTTGACAAATCTATCCATTTCATCCAGACGCAACGTACAGTAGAAAGGTCAACCATTCGGTCAGTTCTGGGGTCCATAGACCCAGTTCTCCAGCCTCCTGACACAACGAGAGTGAAAAGTCAGCACAATTCGCACAATCTCGTCTACCACAATCCCAGCATTGTGTTCCACACCAAAAGCAGCGGAGAGAACCCCCGCCGTTTTCACGACGTGTGCGGCAAAAACGTCCTGCAGTTGAAGTTGTTAGGCGCGCCATCATGGCCACTTTGACTTTTTTGGAGTGGACAGCATTACGAGCGTTAATTAGTATTTAAGTCCGTCTAACGCAGGGTTCTAACGATGGTGACGGCGATTTAAAAGGTGATAAAGACTGAGAATTTTGTCTTATTATCTGTACGGCAATTCGTCATTTCACTTTGGAAATACCACTACATACACGCCGGTGTTGGCGTACTGAGAAAGATGAGAGTGTACAAAGTAAAAAAAAAAATGTTTGAGTTCGCAAGTGAGACGAGCAATTTTAAGGTACCGTGGAAACAAAAGTAATTTAAGACGCACATAGCAAGCAATGAAAGAGCAACCATCAGACTAATGAACCTTCGGACTTAGGACCTCTGACGACATATAAACCTTTGGACTAATGAACCTTCGGACTTTTATGTTCAACCGTTTATTGATGTATACAAACTTTTGTATATTAGTATATTTTGTTTGGCTTAGGCACAAACAAGTGTATGAATAAACTGTGAAAACTAATTTTCATTTTGATGAAAAAGAGATGAGTTTCCAGTTCTGAACCATCCCATTAATTTGTTTTTCATTCCTTTGACCATGCATGCACGTTTAGCAACCATAGCAAAAGGAGTAAAAGCGATTTACAATATTACGAGATTAAAGTTATTACACATTAAAAAATCCTCAAAACCGTAAGAAATATTTTCTAGGTGGATTACAGCAGAATACAAAAAGGCACGAAATTTGATGGAATATATTCCATTGAACATTCGGTCCAGGTATCTTCAATTGGTGGGTCTGAAGTAATAGGCATAATGAAAATGAACAGGCAAACGTTAAGACTACAACTTTCTACAGGGCATATATATATTGAAGGGATATTTATTCCTGAAAGTCTTCCCGCTTTGCGTATAAATCAACAATTTGCAAAGTCTGCATATTTATCACGATTTATAGCCGGATAAAAATGCCCGCAGTCAGATTTGTGCAAGAATTCTCTTAGTGCGCCCATAGTTGGCTATATCTATTTGGACCACGTTTTTAAGCCACACTGTCCATCTGCCTTTGGAAATGGCGTGATGTCAGACTAAGGTCAAGGTCGAAGAGTTCACTGCACACAGCCTCTTATTTTCTTCTCTTAAAAGTCTCTACGCGAGTCCAGGTTGAATCAGGGGGCAGTCTGGCTCCCCGGGCGGACACTCCACTGAAATATAAGGAAAAAGTCATATAAGGACGGTTCCCAATCATTATCGCTGTTTGTGTGCGCCCCATGTCCCATCTTTAATTTTCAAAACTGTTACAGTAATGAGTTGGCTTTTTGGCATGAAAGTGCCTAATTAGAGCTGTGATTACGTCCTCCCGTGACGTAATCCAGTCCTAAAAACGAGTGTTTCAATCAGAATAACCTAGTCTTTATTCGACACACTATTGCACGCATCTCAACTAACGCAATGGCTCAAAGCACTGGGCACCTACCGCATTTATTACGTATCTGGACCTGTCCATCTGCGCATGTCAAACTGAGCTGAACGTCTATCTTCCTGTTTTCCAAATCCGCGATTGGTGGAAAGAAGAACTCCGGAGTTCCAGGAATGATAAGCGTGAGAAAAAATGAGTCATATCTCTGTTTCTGGACTTCAGCTAAAACGCCGTTTACGTAGGCATCCAGGTCCAGCCCCCCTGAGAGGTCTTCGTTACTGGAGAACGTGAGAAGTAGATCCTTTTCTCTGCAGGTTATGACGGGGTCTGTGAAGGTACAGGGTTTGTTGATACAGGCGAACTGGAGACTCTGGACGTGCTGAGACTGGAACATCGGCATTATGGTTTGTTTGATAAATACTGGGTCGTTTTCCGGATCCTTGCACACGTGAGCGTAGCGGGCGCTGAATGTTGCTTTTGCGGCAGTCGGCGTGAAAGTGCCTAGAATAATGAGAGTAAATGTGAAAATTATCAAAAAAAAAAAAAAAAAAAAAAAAAAAA